AGCAGTGTGTAGGGACGGTACCTTGCTCAGGGTAGCCATTCAGTGGATTCGAACCCCCGACCTTGCCATTATGGGGCACTACTCTACCTCTAACTATCCTCCTTTATCTTTGTTAAACTGTACAGCCCAGGCACAAAACAGTGTGAAAAATCAAAAGTGACAACAGAGGCAGAGGGACCTGCTGAAATGCCTGAAATGCTCAGTAAATAAGGCGAAGCTTCCCTGAGCACGCACCGTTATAAGTGATTTATCACCAAAAGTATTTTAAGTACAGACATGGAATCAGAATCAGGATGCTTCATTGATCGCAAAAACAATTATGTGGTCACAGCTGCTCCAAGACAATAAGAACTAAATGAAATAATACAAAATATTACAAAGTTACAAAATAGAAGAAAAAGCTCTAATATATACAAATAGCTAAATTATAAATATATAGAATTTTGCAGAGATTGACATTTTGCTCTAAACTGTAAAACTTTATTTATAATTTTCACTGTGGAGCCATTCCTCTGCAGATGATCTGTTAGCTGTTTGACAACTACTCTTTCAAGGTTGTTTGTCAGGGGCCAGCAGACCAGTGCGTTATTGGGACTTAAGCAAACTGTTTCTTAACAAGACTTTATCATACAGTGAAAAATATATACATAAGATGGTGAGATAGGTGAAGTCCAGTCTTTGATGGGGAACAGGGCTGAGTATCACTGATTTATACAACTGGGTCGTAGCTGTTTGGTGGTTGTTGAAATAGTTTTAAGCTGAGATTCTGACGTTTCTGGCAAAATGGATTATATTTAAAAATTGATTCAGGATTTAATGAATCGATATCGCATTACTCAAGCTAAAATTGATTGGAATTGGGAAATCTATTTTTTTAAACCAGAACTTGGGCACCACAATAGGCACTAACCACCTTGCAGCCACAACTCAGTGCAGCAGCTTCAGCAAAGGAGGTGCTGAATGGAGGTGGTGAACATGTGTCCCCAGCCTCCCTTGGACTGTTGTCGAAGCTCTGCCAGATGAGGGAGTTGAAGATCTTGTGGATGGTGGTGTCTGCGAGGTGTTCCCAATGCCCGTCTATATCTAGCCGGTACGCCTTAATCTCACGTACTGGATCAGGCTCCTTTACCACAGAGAGGTAACGTTCCATGTCAAAATCGCTACTCCAGGTAGCCGGGGGTCGGGCCACCAGGGTCTCCACAACTGCCACCCAGCACACATTGTATCCTACACCTACCACACCGCCTGCAGGTGGTGGGCCTAGAGGAGGGTGGGCCCATGTCCCTTTTTTGGGCTGTGCCCAGTCGGGCCCCGTGGACTAAGGCTTGGCCCCTTGGCACTTGCCCTTGGGCACCCTCCCCGGGTCTGGCTGCAGGGCAGAGCCTCAGTAACCCTATCCCGGGCAGGGTGAATTGTTGAAATGTTCTTTGGCTCTTCAGCTCATAGGGTTTGTTAATCGCTCAATGTTTGAGACCCTACCAGGAGGCAAGAGCGAGCCAAGCTAAGCTGAAGATGTTCAGAAGTTCACTGGGAGTGAGCAGCATGCACAGGATTAGAAATGAGTCCAGCGGGACAGCTCAGCGTCAGAGAAGCGAGGATGAGATGGTTTGCTCATGTGGAGAGGAGGAAGAGAGGATATACTGGACAGAGGATGATGAAGATGGAGCTTCTGGAGCAGATACTCACTGGCATTAACACAGCATTCTGACTCAGATTCACTTTCATTTTTATTTCTCACCTTTATAACTGCTTGTCATTGTCCTTGGGAGGCAACAGACAACATTCTTCAGCACATCTGTCATCACAACGAGTCTCCCGTCTCTGTACTTTTGACCTCATGTGGCACTTTCAATTATTTGAAAAACTAAGACCACCCTTACTGCTTCCACAGGAATTAAAAGGGTAAGTATCAGCCAAGTGCTGCTAATTACATGCACGTCTTCACTGATCATCTGCAAATCTCAACACGTCTATAAAAGAACAAGTTTCATTCAGAATTACAGAATCTCCTCAGAAGTGGACACCAAAAAAGTAAATTCACCGAAAAATCAGACCATCCAAAATCACAAAATCAGTGTGACGCTCATTGTGTGTGTTAGATTGTAAACAGGCAAATATATGAAACTTGTGTTTGACAGATTTCAGGATTACTTTTTCAGATGAAAGTGTTTCAGCTTTAAGCTCCA